GAGTGATGGTCACTCATTGGCTTGATAGGTGTGTTGTGTCCAAATTTGGTGTCAGTTCATCCAGTGGTTTTGGAGTTATGTTAATCCCACTAATGAACATTACATTTTTATTTATACAGACTAGCCGTCCCCTGCCACGCGTTGCTGTGGCCCAGCCTGGTGATCTGGAAAATAAAGCAATGAGAAAGTGTTGATTTCTAATATATGTAATGTCTTTATGCTCATGGGTAAACAGTATATTTTGAATGGCTCTTTGTCAGGAGGGCTTGGATTACGTTTTCTTGCTCCGGTGAAGGGGGTTGGACTGGATGGCCTTAAGTATTTTCTGTTGGGTTTTTGTAGTTTTTTTGGGCTATATGGCCATGGTCTAGAGGCATTCTCTCCTGACATTTCACCTGCATCTATGGCAGGCATCCTCAGAGGTAGTCATGGGGGCTCTGTGTGGGAAGTTTGCCCAATTCCATCATTGGTGGGGTTCAGAATGCTCTTTGATTGTAGGTGAACTATAAATCCCAGTAACTACAACTCCCAAATATCAGGGCCTATTTCCCCCAAACACCATCTGTGTTCATATTTGGGCATATGGAATATTCGTGCCAAGTTTGGTCCAGATCCATCATTGTTTGAGTCCATAGTGCTCTCTGGGTGTAGGTGTACTACAACTCCCAAACTCAACGTCGATGCCCACCAAACCCTTCTAGTATTTTCTGTTGGTCGTGGGAGTCCTGTGTCCCAAGATTGGTTTAATTCCATCATTGGTGGAGTTCAGAATGCTGTTTGATTGTATAAATCCCAGTAACTACAACTTCCAAATGACAAAATCATTTTTTAAGTGAAGGACATACATTGGGTTGTTAGGTGTCTTGTGTCCAAATTTGGTGTCAATTCCCCCAGTGGTTTTTGAGTTCTGTTAATCCCACAAACGAACATTACATTTTTATTTAAATAGATCAGTGTTCCTCAACCTTCCTAATGCCGCGACCCCTTAATGCAATTCCTCATGTTGTGGTGACCCCCAACCATAACATTATTTTCAGTGCGACTTCATTATTGTCATTTTGCTCCTGTTATGAATCGTCATGTAAATATCTGATATGTAGGATGTATTTGCAGTCACTGGACCAAATTTGGAACAAATACCTGATACGCCCAAATTTGAATATTGGTTGGGTTAGGGGTGATTGATTTTGTCATTTGGTAATGCTGGAGTTGCTGGGATTTATAGTTCACCTACATCAAAGAGCCTTCTGAACTCCACCAATGATGGAATTGAATCAAACTTGGCACACAGAATTCCGATGACCAAGAGAAAATACTGGGAAGGCCTGGTGGACATTGACCTCGAGTTTTTGGAGTTGTAGTTCACCTACATCCAGAGAATCATAGAATCAAAGAGTTGGAAGAGACCTCATGGGCCATCCAGTCCAACCCCCTGCCAAGAAGCAGGAATATTGCATTCAAATCACCCCTGACAGATGGCCATCCCGCCTCTGTTTAAAAGCTTCCAAAGAAGGAGCCTCCACCACACTCCGGGGCAGAGAGTTCCACTGCTGAACAGCTCTCACAGTCAGGAAGTTCTTCCTTGTGTTCAGATGGAGTCTTGTAGTTTGAGAGAACACTGTGGACTCGAGCAATGATGGATCTGGATCAAACTTGGCACAAATACTCAATATGCCCAAATATGAACACTGGTAGAGTTTGGAGAAAATAGACCTTGCCATTTGGGAGTTGTAGTTGTTGGGATTTATAGTTCACCCACAATGAAATAGCATTCTGAACCCCACCAATGATAGAATTGGACCAAACTTTCCACACAGAACCCCCATGACCAACAGAAAAAACTATGTTTTCTGATGGTCTTTGGCGACCCCTCTGACACCCCCTCGCGACCCCCACAGGGGTCCCGACCCCCAGGTTGAGAAACACTGAGTTAGAGGGACTGTAATCCTGATAGCTGTCTTGAGTCCAAATTTGGTGGCAATTCGTCCAGTAGTTTTTGAGTTAGGTTGATCCCACAAACAAAGATTACATTTTATTTATATAGATTATGCAGAAATAGACGTGATAGTGGGCAGAAGAAGATGCAATACGATGCAGAAAAAGATATGATGCCGCGCAGAAGAAGACATGATATTGTGCAGAGAAAGATGTGATACTGGGCAGAATAATATATAATATTATGCAGAAGAAGACGTGATGGTTGACAGAAGATGCAATACTGTGCAGAAGAAGATATGATATTATCCAAAAGGAGACATGATATGATGCAGAAGAAGATATGATATTATGCAGAAGAAGATGTGACATTGTTCAGAAGGAGACCCTTGTGCCAGCCGGACTGCTGACCGATAGTTATGCGGTTCAAATCTGGAGAGAGTGGGTTGAGCTCCCTCTGTCAGCTCCAGCTCCCCATGCAGGGACATGAGAGAAGCCTCCCACAAGGATGATAAAACATCAAAACATCTGGGCGTCCCCTGGGCAATGTCCTTGCAGACAGCCAATTCTCTCACACCAGATGTTGTGACTGAGATGTTCTGTGATGATGAGGATGATGGGATTCAAATTCCTGGCTCTTTTTCTGTGCCTCAGATCTCTGGGCCTGCGGCTCCCACAGACAGTGCAGAGTCAACATCAACACAGCGGTTCTCAGGAGAAAATAATTTTAACGAAGGAGATAGTGAACAGGTGGGGAGGCATTTGCCTCCTTCCCACGCTGATACTGAAAGTACTGAAAGCCTTGATAGTGACCTGACCCGGCAAGCTCGTCTTGATTTGCGGGTCAGGCAGAGTTCTCGCCTGGCTGGCAGACGAGAAGCCAGCTCGGTGAAAGGTAATCGCAATGATTTCATGTAATGTTTTCATGTTAGAAAGGTATTTAGGCTTCTTGCAAACCAAGGGAAAGTGTCAGTTCAATGTAGCTTATTAGCCTGGAAGCTTCATAGACTAACTTTCACCTGGAAAGCAGTATGCTTGGGATTTCTTGCATTGTGATTCATGGGGCAATTGCTTGTACCTAGGACTCTGGTTTGAACTTTGCCAATAGGTTTATGTCTCTTGCTTTTACCTGAAGATCTTTGGAACTATATTCTGCATTTAACCTTAATCTTTGGAACTTTGCAGTGCTTATACTTTATTTTGACTTAGATTTTTTCCTCAATAAACTATAAAACAACAGGTTCTTGTGGGTTTTTTCGGGCTATAGAGCCATGTTCTAGAGGCATTTCTCCTGACGTTTTGCCTGCATCTATGGCAAGCATCCTCAGAGGTAGTGAGGTTTGTTGGAACTAGGAAAATGGGTTTATATATCTGTGGAATGGCTGGGGTGGGGCAAAGAGCTCTTCTCTGCTGGAGCTAGGTGTGAATGTTTCAACTGACCACCTTCATTAGCATTTGAAGGCCTGGCTGAGCCTGGGAAAATCTTTTGTTGAGAGGTGTTAAGATGTGCCTGGTTGTTTCCTCTCTGCTGTTTTGCTGTTGTAATTTTAGAGTTTTTTAATACTGGTAACCAGATTTTGTTCAACCAGCCTGGACACAGCATATTATTTGAGAACACAGAAATGCTGGACCACACCAACAACCACCATGTCAGACTACACAGAGAAGCCACTGAAATCCACAAGCATGTGGACAATTTCAACAGAAAGGAAGAGACCATGAAAATGAACAAAATCTGGCTACCAGTATTAAAAAACTCTAAAATTACAACAGCAAAACAGCAGAGAGGAAACAACCAGGCACACCTTAACACCTCTCAACAAAAGATTTTCCCAGGCTCAGCCAGGCCTTCAAATGCTAATGAAGGTGGTCAGTTGAAACATTCACACCTAGCTCCAGCAGAGAAGAGCTCTTTGCCCCACCCCAGTCATTCCACAGATATATAAACCCATTTTCCTAATTCCAACAGACCTCACTACCTCTGAGGATGCTTGCCATAGATGCAGGCGAAACGTCAGGAGAAATGCCTCTAGAACATGGCTCTATAGCCCGAAAAAACCCACAAGAACCTAGTGATTCCAGCCATGAAAGCCTTCAACAATATATACAACAACAGCTCTTATGTGGTGGTGTTTGGAAGCCAGGTGAAGCTTACTCTGAGTTGCAACACCAGAAGCAACCTTCAGTTTCTCAAGTTGCTCCTGACATGAAAATAAAAAAATTGGATTCATGCAAAAAGAGAATAGTTGGGATAAAATACATATTATCCAGAAGAAGACATGATATGATGCCACGCCCACCCACCCCCCCCCCCCCCCCCCCCCCACCCAGCCCCGCACCTGGTGATATTATGTAGAAGAAGATGCGATATTATGCAGAAGAAGGCGTGACATTGTGCAGAAGAAGGGATATTATGCAGAAGACGACGTGACAATATTGAGAGGAAGACGTGACATTATGCAGAAGATGTGGACCTACCCAAACAGGCCGAGCATTGCTCTCCATGGTGGCTGTTGGGGCAGTTGTGGACACTTTCTTCACCCTTTTGCCAAATTCCGTGTGCTTATAGTACAAGAAATCCGAGCGGCCCACAAAATATTCAGTCATATCTGTGGCCGTCTCGACTCGCTTCTCAAGACCGTCTACCCGGGTTTCATTGTAGAACTCCATTGTTCGCTCCGTCTCGGGCTCCATTGTCTTATAGATATGAGCTGGGAAAAGGAAAGAGAAGCTAGAGGCGAGCCTACACTGTAGAATTAATGCAGTTTGGCACCACTTTAATGGCCATGTCAGCAGCCTATGATACTGTGAACCACCGCCTCCTCCTGAGAAAAATGTATAATATCACAAAGGACTACCACCTCACCCGCCTCATAGGAAACTTGCTACAAAACAGGAGCTTTTTTGTTGAGTTCCAGGGCCAGAGAAGCAGATGGCGGAAACAGAAGAACGGCCTGCCTCAGGGGAGCGTGCTGCTCCATCCATGTTCAACATCTACACAAATGACCAGCCACTGCCAGAAGGGACAGAGAGTTTCATCTATGCTGATGATCATGCCATTACCAGGGAGCTTTGAGATGGTAGAACAGAAGCTCTCCGAAGCTCTAGGTGCTCTTACTGCCTATTACAGGGAAAACCAGCTGATCCCTAATCCATCTAAAACACAGACATGTGCCTTTCTTCAAGAACAGAGAAGCATCCCGAGCTCTGAAGATCACCTGGGAAGGAATCCCACTGGAGCATTGCAGCGCACCCAGATACCTGGGAGTCACTCTGGACCGTGCTCTGACCTACAAGAAGCACTGCCTGAACATCAAGCAAAAAGTGGGTGCTAGAAACAATATCATACGAAAGCTGACTGGCACAACCTGGGGATCACAACCAGATAGAGTGAAGACATCTGCCCTTGCGCTGTGCTACTCTGCTGCTGAGTATGCATGCCCAGTGTGGAACACATCTCACCATACTAAAACAGTGGATGTGGCTCTTAATGAGACATGCCGCATTATCACGGGGTGTCTGCGCCCTACACCACTGGAGAAATTACACTGCTTAGCCGGCATTGCACCACCTGACATCCGCCGGGAAGTAGCAGCCAATAGTGAAAGGACCAAGGCAGTGACATCTCCAGCCCATCCCCTGTTTGGGTATCAGCCAGCATGTCAACGACTTAAATCAAGAAATAGTTTTCTAAGATCTACAGAGACACTCGCTGGAACACCTCAGCAAGCGAGAGTCCAAAAGTGGCAGGCTCAAACCCAGCACCTCAACCAATGGCTGATACCAAATGAGAGACTCCCTCCTGGGCACACAGAAGACTGGGCGACTTGGAAGGCGCTGAACAGACTGCGCTCTGGCACCACGAGATGCAGAGCCAACCTTCAGAAATGGGGCTACAAAGTAGAATCCTCGACATGCGAGTGTGGAGAAGAGCAAACCACTGACCACCTGCTGCAATGCAACCTGAGCCCTGCCACATGCACAATGGAGGACCTTCTTGCAGCAACACCGGAAGCACTCCAAGTGGCCAGATACTGGTCAAAGGACATTTAACCAGCTACCAAACTCACAAGTTGTGTATTTTTCTGTTTGTTTGCTTTGTTCTGTAATATAATGGACTGGCTGCTCTGACACAACAAATAAAAAAATGGCCATGGAATCCTAGGAGTTGACACAGGAGAGCTTTAGCCTTCCCAACTCTGGTGCCTCACCAAACAACAACTCCTAGGATTCCATAGCATTGAGTGGTGGCAGTTAAAGTGGTGTCAAACTGGGTTAATTATACTGTGTAGATACACCTAGATACCTTTGAGACCATGTGCGTGTCCGGGGAGGAAGAACTCCGTTATCCAATCTGTTTGCTTGTTCAGTTCTCTCATATCCATCACGTCTTCTCGGTTCTTGAACCACTCCTTTATTACCAGCTTTTTGGTACCTTTTGGCAAAAGGGAAGGAGAAAACCCTTTAAAGTGACAATGGCATAAAAGTGAAAGATCATATTTATTGTTTAAAAATCGAATCGCCAGCGCCCCCTATATACGAAACGAGTTTAGAACCATTTTTTTTCTTGATTGCCCAAGCCTACTACTTACAGTCTAGATCCTCATAGACAGTGAGCCGTGTAACCAATCCATTGCTGTTCAGATATGGTGACCATGTCTCCAACTTGGCATTCTTGTACTGGATCACCTTCTTGCCCTGTGGGCACCGGGTCTCAAACTCTAGTGACAGCAAACAGAAGCAAAGGTAAGGAACCCATATGGTCCTCCAGATGTTGGAAATCCACTGGCCATAATGGCTAGAGTCAAAGAGTAAAACTAAACAACTGGTTCCCAATCATAGACTGAGTATCCAAAAACTTCTGGAAGATGACAGATTATTCACCTCGGAAGTATAGGGCACTTCGATTGTGTCAAATGCTTTTTCAATACAGGGCATTTCAATTGTGTCGAAAGCTTTTCAATATAGGATACTTCAATAGTGTCTAATGCTTTTCAATACAGGACATTTCGATTGTGTCAAATGCTTTTTCAATACAGGGCATTTCTTTTGGAAAATGGAAATCTCAAGAACCTTTTGGAGATTTTATGATTTTTGGAAAGGCATGTCCTTGTTAGAAGTCATAACCTTTTGGAAAATGATGCCATAACCTCTTGGGAAAAAGCATGACCTGTTAGAGTCATAACATTTTCAGAAAATGGCATTTATATAAGGCAATTGGGTTTCTCAGCTGTTAAACTGATGTACCTAGGTATGTCTTTGAACTGTTAGGTTTCAGAAGTGTTCTTTTTAGTTGTCCATACATCTATTATTTATTCATTTATGTCACGTTTATCCCGCCCATATCAGCCCGAAGGTGACTCAGGACGGCGTACAAATTGGCACAATTAGATGCCATATAAAAATAAATCGGTTAAAATAAAAAAAAATCACATTACAATACATTTAAAAACTGTAAAAGCAATAACAATAAAAATTATAAAAACGATGTCTTCTTGTTCAAATCCTCAACCGTTCCATCATCTTAGCCGTTCCTAGTTCATATTCCAATTTGAGTTTATCTGGTCATGCTGAAGTTCCAAACGCTTGCTCAAAGAGCCAGGTTTTCACTCTTTTTCGAAAGCTCAAGATGGAGGGGGCCGATCTAATATCCCTAGGCAGGGAGTTCCACAGCTGAGGGGCCACCACAGAGAAGGTCCTGTCTCTTGTCCCTGGTCATGCTGAAGTTCCAAACACTTGCTCAAAGAGCCAGGTTTTCACTCTTTTTCAAAAGGTCAAGAGGGAGGGGGCCGATCTAATATCCCTAGGCAGGGAGTTCCACATATAATCTCCCTTTAAACCTCTTGGTTTAAATCATGCTTTCAAGAGACAAAAATAAGCAGACTTCTTTAAAAGTAACATAGCTGGGTTACTCACAGACTTAATGTAGTCAATATACAGGTACTTTGCATATCAATCCCGTTACAAATAGAACGGAAGTAGTTTCTCTGTGTGGATAACACAGGGCATCTTTCTTACAATCAACACTCCAAAGTCCAAAGCATCTCTCTGTTCAGAGAGTTTAATAGAGTCTCTGACTAGTCTGAAAGTCCAATGGAGTCTCTTAGCATACTGTTCTGCTGGTGCTTGAAAGCAAAACTGTTCTAAAATGTAGTCTGAGTCCCGAACAAGCCCAGAGCTGATCACATGGTCTGCAGCCACTCCCACAACAAAGTTAAAGAAAAACTGCAAACCAATATACACATATACAATACAGTAAGCAATCTGAATTATATATACATAACAAACAACTAGTGGAGGCTTGAAGAAGGTTGCTATTTCCAATAATTTCAATTGTGTGAAATGCTTTTCAATATGAAATACTTCAATTGTGTCAAATGCTTTTCAATATAGGACGCTTCAATTGTGTCGAATGCTTTTTAATGCAGGACATTTCAATGGTGTCAAATGCTTTTCAATACAAGACATTTCAATTGTGCCAAATGCCTTTCAACATACTTAAACACTTAGACAATCCAGTCCTCAGCTTTCACGGGGATCACAACATCTTCTTAATCACTTCCATTTGTATCTATTTCAAGCATGAGCAGGCCAATGTAACATTGTACACACATTGTGGGACACTTCAATTGTGTCGAATGCTTTTTCAATGCATGTCATTTCAATCGTACCAAATGTTTTCCAGTATTGTGGAAAACATGCTTTCCAATATAGGACACTTCAGTTGTGTCAAATGCTTTTTAATGCAGGACATTTCAATGGTGTCGAATGCTTTTTCAATGCAGGGCATTTCAATCGTACCAAATGTTTTCCAGTATTGTGGAAAACATGTTTTCCAATATAGGACACTTCAATTGTGTCAAATGCTTTTCAATATAGGACACTTCAATTGTGTCAAATGCTTTTTAATGCAGGACATTTCAATGGTGTCAAATGCTTTTCAATACAGGACATTTCAATTGTGCCAAATGCCTTTCAACATACTTAAACACTTAGACAATCCATTCCTCAGCTTTCACACGGATCACAACATCTTCCTAATCACCTCCATTTGTATCTATTTCAAGCATGAGCAGGCCAATGTACCATTGTACACACATTGTGGGACACTTCAATTGTGTCGAATGCTTTTTCAATGCAGGACATTTCAGTCATACGAAATGTTTTCCAGTATTGTTGAAAACATGCTTTCCAATATAGGACACTTCAATTGTGTCGAATGCTTTTTAATGCAGGACATTTCAATGGTGTCAAATGCTTTTCAATACAGGGCATTTCAATTGTGCCAAATGCCTTTTAACGTACATAGACGCTTAGGACACTTCAATTGTGTAAAATGCTTTCCAATATAGGACACTTCAATTGTGTCAAATGCTTTTTAATTCAGGACATTTCAATTGTGTCAAACGGTTTACAATACAAGACATTTCAATTGTGCCAAATGCCTTTCAACATACTTAGACACTTAGACAATCTATTCCTCAGCTTCCACGTGGATCACAACATCTTCCTAATCACCTCCATTTGTATCTATTTCAAGCATGAGGAGGCCAATGTACGATTGTACACACATTGTGGGATACTTCAATTGTGTCAAATGCTTTTTCAATGCAGGGCATTTCAATTGTACCAAATGTTTTCCAGTATTGTGGAAAACATACTTTTCAATACAGGACATTTCAATTGTGCCAAATGCCTTTCAACATACTTAAGACACTTAGACAATTCATTCCTCAGCTTTCACGCAGATCACAACATCTTCCTAATCACCTCCATTTGTATCTATTTCAAGCATGAGCTGACCAATGTACCATTGTACACACATCGTGAGACACTTCAATTGTGGCAAATGCTTTTTCAATGCAGGGCATTTCAATTGTACCAAATGTTTTCCAAGATTGTGGAAAACATGCTTTCCAAGACAGAACACTTCAATTGTGTCGAATGCTTTCCAATATAGGACACTTCAATTGTGTCGAATGCTTTTCAATATAGGACACTTCAATTGTGTTGAATGCTTTTTAATGCAGGGCATTTCAATGGTGTCAAATGCTTTTCAATACAGAACATTTCAATTGTGCCAAATGCCTTTCAGCATACTTAGACACTTAGACAATTCATTCCTCAGCTTTCACGCGGATCACAACATCTTCCTAATCACCTCCATTTGTATCTATTTCAAGCATGAGCAGGCCAATGTATCACTGTACACACTTTGTGGGTTTTGCACCTCAGATTAAGCTTCACCTTGCTCTCAATCACCACCAGACCACGGCTGTAAGATTTATAGTTTATTGTAAGATTTCCAAAAGAAGGCAAAGGTTAAGTCAATACAAAGTTCCAAAGTTCAGGTAAAATGCACGGTACAGTTCCAGAAATCCTTAAGAGAAAATAAACAAGAGTCATGAAGCAGGAAGCACAAACCCTGTGCCAAGCAACCTAGCCCAAAAGTAGCATGAAGAAACCCAGGCTCCAAGCCTCCTGCTCCCAATGCAGGATCGTGAAGCTGCTAGTAGAAAGCCACGTTGAAACTGACAGCTGTGAATCGCTAGTGAAAGCCCTAAATACTTTTACACATCAAAACAATCTACTTTCCCACTGCTCCCTTGACCTGTCGCTGACCTAACTTGGCAGCGATCCGCGAGCTCCTTCTCACAGTTTTGTTATCCCTTTGAAGCAGCACCTGGGCCTCATCCTTATCATCTGCATTCCTGTCCTGTGAGAACTGCTTCTCCAACTCTACTGCAGGCTGAGAAAACTGTGGCTGAGAAAACTGAAATCCATCAGGCTGCTCAGGAGACTGTTGAACCACAACAGTGGGACACTTCAATTGTGTCAAATTCTTTTTCAATGCAGGGCATTTCAATCGTACCAAATGTTTTCCAGTATTGTGGAAAACATGCTTTCCAAGACAGGACACTTCAATAGTGTCAAATGCTTTCTGATACAGGCAAATCTCCATTAACAAAGCAGATGTGTCTGTGTCATTATTTCTTTAACCAAACATTTGACACCAGGTGTAGAAATAACATGGAAAGAATGGGGATGGGATTCTACACCACAAAAAAGAGAGGCAGTTCAATATGTTTCAATTAACCTTGTACTTAAAAAAAGCAATCCGCATGTGTGAAATAACGCAATCAGATCAGGTAACTCTTGCTTAAGAGACTACGTGAAAGCTCCTCCCCAAACATAAAATAAATAATAATGATAGAAGACAAGGAACATAGATACAGTGCAGGGAGACATGTTAAGTTCATAGTGGGAAATCATACCCTTAATAACCCTTAACCATGTTTCGAGGGAAAGAAAAGTGTAGTTGCAAAGAAACATACAAATTGAAGGCAGTGAGGAAGCCATTAGGAACCAGGAAAGGGAAAAGATACCTTTTTGAGTTATCTGGATCGGCTCCACCCAAGAAGCAGGCATGTCAAAACTCTTTGGCTCCTCTTCTTTAAGCTATTGATAAGACCCAGGAGACAAAAAAAAAACCAAGATTATGGCACCAAGAATGATTGACAACTGGGAAATTGAGGGAGAAAACGTGGAGGCCGTGACAGACTTTGTATTTCTAGGTGCAAAGATGACTGCAGATGCAGACTGCAGCCAGGAAAATAGGAGACGCTTCCTTCTTGGGAGGAGAGCAAGGACCAATCTTGATAAAATAGTAAAGAGTAGAGACATCACACTGGCAACAAAGATCCGCATAGTGAAAGCAATGGTATTCCCCATAGTCACCTACGGATGTGAGAGCTGGACCATAGGGAAGGCTGAGCGAAGGAAGATCGATGTGCCTTGGACCGCAAGAAGATCCAACCAGTCCATACTTAAGGAAATAAAGCCGGACTGCTCATTGGAGGGAAGGAGAGTAGAGACAAAGATGAAGGAATTTGGCCACATCATGAGAAGACAGGAAAGCTTAAAGAAGAGAATGATGCTGGGGAAAATGGAAGGAGAAAGGAAGAGGGGCTGACCAAGGGCAAGATGGAGGCATGGTATAAAGAACAGCGAATCAATCTCAATCTCTGACACCAAATTATAACGATCGATCACAGATCAAACGGTACACCAATGCTGCCACCAATATTATACCTGGATCAATAATGGATTTCACTAGCTGCCAAATCAACTTATAGAGATTTACAGACCAAATATAAAATGCTACAAACCAATATGTAACGATCACCGTTCAATTGATAGACACCAATGTGTAGAACGACCGCCAATTGTTAAGGGCTAAACCGGATTATTAGGCTCTTTTTACCCAGAAAAGAACTTTTCTTAGGTCTAATAGGGAGAAACTAGGGCTGGGCGGTTTCGTTTCGTTAATTCGTAATTCGTTAAAAATTCGTTTTTTTATAACGAAGCGATAACGAACCATTCTGGAGCAACTTAAAAACGAAACGAATTTTTAAATTCGTTTCGTAAATGCTTCGGATTCGTTATGTATTCATTTCGTTATCGGTTTGAGGTCGTTTCGTTATTATTTCCGCATGTCTGGGGCAAGTTTTATAGTTGTTTTTTGTTTAATTAGTGAACAAAAATTATAATATCACACCAACAGTCAACAACAGAGGGAGAGGGAAGCTTCAGAAGTTCCCGTCCCATTTGGAGGTTTTTTAGCGTATTGCGCGGTCGCGTCCGCCATTAACGAATCGATTCGTTATTGTTTCGTATTTGTTTCGTTAATGTTTCGTAATTTTAACATTTACGAAATTTCGTAAATATCGAACTTTTTAAAAGAAAAATTTCGGAATTCTTTTAAATATCGAAACGCAAAACCCCCCAAAAAACGAATCGATTTTAGAAACAATTTTTTCTGTTGTTACCCAGACCTAGGAGAAACATAAACTGAGTAAGTTATGGCTATATAATTACTGATGACTCAGGATTGTTAAAACTGTTTCTTCTGCTTGGCTGACGCTTTTCTACTTTTAGAACTGAGGAAACCTAGTAACACAACCTTTTGTGTTACAATGCAGTTTGTTTTTCAGAGAGATTAAATGCTTATCTAAAGTATTCACACACAGTCTGTGGTAGTAAAAATAGAATGAAACGTTTATTAAACAATCTTGAAAATCTTCAGGTACAGAATGCTTATTGGTTTCGTTAAAAATCATACAGTGTTTGAATTAAGTTCCAGACATAACTTTCAAACTGAGAATTTATATCTTCTCCTAAATTAGATTCTTCCCTACAAACAGCCCACTACACAGGGTCTGTCTAGAAATGATCCTTCTTCTGAAGTCACTATCTGAATCTTTTTCCTAAATCTTTGCTGCTTTACAAATCTACAACTGCTCTCCCTAACTCCCAACTCCAACTCTTCCCTCAGGATTTTAAAACGCCCCTTTTTTCCTCTCAGCTTCTCCTAAACTCCGCCCCCTTTTTCCACACCAATCCCAGCCATTCCCTGCCGTCTAATGCCTAAGACACGCCCCCTGCTCTGAACTACACTCAAGATGGCGTCTCCCTTCTCCAAAATGGCTGCTGATGCTTCGCCTTGCCCATTCTCTATCTTTCTAGGCTTACAGGCTTTTCCTGGCCCTGAATTCTGGCTGTAACTAAGGTAAGGGTTACTAGGTTCTTGTGGGTTTTTTCGGGCTATAGAGCCATGTTCTAGAGGCATTTCTCCTGACGTTTCGCCTGCATCTATGGCAAGCATCTTCAGAGGTTTGAGGTCTGTTGGAAGTAGGAAAAATGGGTTTATATATCTGTGGAATGGCTGGGGTGGGGCAAGGAGCTCTTCCCTGCTGCAGTTAGGTGTGAATGTTTAGCTGATCACCTTCATTAGCATTTGAAGGCCTGCCTGAGTCTGGGAAAATCTGTTGCTGGGAGGTGTTAATCTGTGCCTGGTTTTTTCCTCTCTGTTGTTTAGCTGTTATAATTTTAGAGTTTTTTAATATTGGTAGCCAGATTTTGTTCATTTTCATGGTCTCTTCCTTTCTGTTGAAATTGTCCACATGCTTGTGGATTTCAATGGCTTCTCTGTGTAGTCTGACATGGTGGTTGTTGGTGTGGTCCAGCATTTCTGTGTTCTCAAATAATATGCTGTGTCCAGGCTGGTTCATCAGGTGCTCTGCTATGGCTGACTTCTCTGGTTGAAGTAGTCTGCAGTGCCTTTCATGTTCCTTGATGCGTGTGAAAAAGGAAGAGGGGCCGACCAAGGACAAGATGGATGGATGGCATCCTTGAAGTGACTGGATTGACCTTGAAGGAGCTGGGGGTGGTGATGGCCGACAGGGAGCTTTGGCGTGGGCTGGTCCAGGAGTCACGAAGAGTTGGAAATGACTGAACGGATTAACAACAACAACTTTGGTCAATTACCGGTCTGAGCCATCATTCTGCAAATGCTTCGTTCCAGAACCAGGATTTCACTAGCTTTCTAAAGGTCAGGAGTGAGGGGGCAGAGATCATCCGGAGTTTCGGAGTGCGATGTCATCTGTACGCGGATGATGTCCAACTCTGTCACTCCTTTCCACCTGCTACTAAGGAGGCTGTCCAGGTCCTGAACCGGTGCTTGGCCGCTGTGACGGTCTGGATGAGGGCGAACAAATTGAAATTGAATCCAGACAAGACAGAGGTACTCCTGGTCAGTCGCAAGGCTGAACAGGGCATAGGGTTACAGCCTGTGTTGGATGGGGCCGCACTCCCCCTGAAGACGCAGGTTCGCAGCTTGGGTGTGACCCTGGACTCATCGCTGAGCCTGGAACCCAGGTTTCGGCGGTGACCAGGGGAGCATTTGCACAGTTAAAACTACCATGGCCAAGTCAGACTTCCCAAGGTACGGGCGCAGTTGGCGCACAAAAACTTGTGCGCCAACTGCGCCCGTACCTTGGGAAGTCTGACTTGGCCACGGTAGTCCACGCTCTGGTTACATCCCGTCTAGACTACTGCAATGCTCTCTACGTGGGGTTGCCTTTGAAGACGGCTCGGAAGCTCCAGCTAGTCCAACGCTTGGCAGCCATGATACTAACAGGAGCGGAGCGCAGGGAGCATACAACTCCTCTGCTGCACCAGCTCCACTGGCTGCCGATTTGCTACCGGGCTCAATTCAAAGTGCTGGTGTTGGCCTTTAAAGCCCTAAATGGTTCTGGCCCAAGCTACCTATCTGAACGTATCTCTGCCTATCAGCCCGCCAGGACCCTAAGATCTTCTGGGGAGGCCCTGCTCTCAATCCCGCCTGCATCACAAGCACGGCTGGCGGGGACGAGGGACAGGGCCTTCTCTGTGGTGGCCCCTCGGCTGTGGAACGCCCTTCCTATGGAGGTAAGATCAGCCCCCTCGCTAATGGTGTTCCGAAGAAGATTAAAAACTTGGATGTTTGAACGGGCATTTGGTTAAACAGTGCAATGAATGTGATGATTACAGGAATGGAAATATGGACGACGAATTGGATCACGACTCTAGTTATGAGATGCATTGTGTTGTCTATTGTTGTGTCAATATTGTATATTATGCTTTTATGGTTTTAAATTGTATATCGTTGATTGATTCTTATCCTTGTTGTAAACCGTGTTGAGTCGCCTGTTGGGCTGAGAAACTGCGGTATACAAGTAAAGTAAATAAATAAATTCATTTGGGAGAGGGAAACACTTTAGAAACACTTTAGAAACACACGAGAAATGTAACACTTTAGAAACACTGTAGAAATGATTGCACCCCCGATTTTGTAATGAGTTTTGAAATATTTTTTTCATTGATCGCACAGACCGAATGCATCGTTTTACTATTACTTGAAGAAGTACTGTGTCCACTTCTAGGCAAAACACTTGAAGGCAAATGCAGAAATGGACTACAAACCTTTCAGAGAGGACAACAAAAATAGCTAGGGCTATAGAAGAAGAAATCCTAGGAGGAAAGATGGAGATCTGTTTGGTCTGGAAAAGACAGAGCTTGGGAAATATTTTTTTGTACTATAGATCTTCACAAATGTGCCGTTGCGCCTGGGTTCTATAGATCTTAGTGAAAGATACATGGACGTGATATCTCTCCCCAGGGGATTGCTTCTTGCCCTCCTTTAGGAAACTGGAACTCCCAAGGACCAAGACACGACAGATAACTCGAAATAGGTTTATTGTTCACAATGAGTTATCTTTCTTAGACATAAACTTGATGTTTCAACATTGATAAAGGAAATATACGTTACAGTCTCTGAAGTCTTGGGTTCAAGGAGTTTGCAGCTGAGAAGCTTTCCAAGTTCCCTCTTTTCTCAATAGCTGTGAATGCCCGAGCACCCACAACTCCAGTCCATATTGCCTATATTTGAAGGCACAAAGTCTTCCTCTGGTGCCAAAGGACTGGTTTGAAGGCACTTGAGACTCCTCAATGTCGTCCAGGGAGATCTGGACATGAAGTGTGAGTCTCAAGGGTAAAAACCTGAGAATTGGTGATGAGAGATAGCTTAAAACAAGGGCTTTCGAGCCAAGTCTTTGTCACGTCCGTCTATAAAGCAGTCTGATGGTAGAATGAAGAAGGAAACACCACCCTCCTCTTCTGGGAAGAGGTGGTGCCAAATAATTGAGCTGAGGGGGCAATTCAACTGGTGCAAACAACATTGATTGACAGCTATAAATAACCAATCAATCCAACTATACATTTACAGAGAAAGCAGACAAGTTGGGGCATGTTACACAGTTCAAAACTTTGCAAATTAAAGTTCTACATATAGGTGGCGCCACTTGTGCCGTCACAACAAAGGAGATGGTTTTTTCCCACATCCTAGCATGTACTGGGTTAGGTAGCCTCCACGACCATAGCTGGGTCAGTCTTATAAGCCTGAGCTGTCCTTCTTTCTCCAGGTTTTAATATACAGTATATTCTGGCGTATAAGACTACTTTTTAACCCAAGAAAATCTTCTCAAAAGTCAGGGGTCGTCTTATACGCGGGTGTAGTCTTATGCATGGGAGTCGTCTTAACTCTATATTTTAACTGGAAAAGTTAGGGGTCGTCTTATATGCCCAGTCGTCTTATATGCCGGAATATACGGTATACGTGCCCCACAGTGAGGACAACCATCATAGCAGTCCTACAAAAGTGATGTTAGGTTCTTGTGGGTTTTTTCGGGCTATAGAGCCATGTTCTAGAGGCATTTCTCCTGACGTTTCGCCTGCATCTATGGCAAGCATCCTCAGAGGTAGTGAGGTCTGTTGGAATTAGGACAATGGGTTTATATATCTGTGGAATGGCTGGGTGGGGCAAGGAGCTCTTCCCTGCTGGAGCTAGGTGTGAATGTTTCAACTGATCACCTTCATTAGCATTTGAAGGCGGGCTGAGCCTGGGAAAATCCCCTGGAGAGGTGTTAAGTTGTGCCTGGTTGTTTCCTCTCTGCTGTTTTGCTGTTGTAATTTAGAGTTTTTTAATACTGGTAGCCAGATTTTGTTCATTTTCATGGTCTCTTCTCTTCACACCTCTAGAATCCACAGACTACACAGAGAAGCCATTGAAATCCACAAGCATGTGGACAATTTCAACAGAAAGGAAGAGACCATGAAAATGAACAAAATCTGGCTACCAGTATTAAAAAACTCTAAAATTACAACAGCAAAACAACAGAGAGGAAACAACCAGGCACATCTTAACACCTCTCAACAAAAGATTTTCCCAGGCTCAGCCAGGCCTTCAAATGCTAATGAAGGTGGTCAGTTGAAACATTCACACCTAGCTCCAGCAGAGAAGAGCTCTTTGCCCCACCCCAGCCATTCCACAGATATATAAACCCATTGTCCTAATTCCAACAGACCTCACTACCTCTGAGGATGCTTGCCATAGATGCAGGCGAAACGTCAGGAGAAATGCCTCTAGAACATGGCTATAGCCCGAAAAAACCCACAAGAACCTAGTGATTCCAGCCATGAAAGCCTTCGACAATAAAAAGTGATGTTCTTGTATAGCAATGGCTTTGGAATACAAGGAAAAAGGCTTGAGTCACCTACCAAAATTTCTATTTCGTCATCCCCCATTTCCTCTTCCTCTTCCACGTCCGGCACCGAGAGGAGAGGCTTATCGGCACCCAGAAGCATGAATTCCCAACGCACTGGGTCACCAAGGTCAAACTGGAGGTCCTAGAAAAATATCAATGAACAGAGTAATCAGGACTTACCAAGAGTTTCTGGGCCAAATCAAACCATAGGTCCACATGTTACTTCTGAGACGACTACGTACTCATGCCTTGGATTAATGGATTGATCAGAGCCAAAAGAATGGAGGACCTTCTCCAAAGCAACCTCAGCATCCATTGGGGACTTGCAAGAAGTCAACAATTTGCCTCCTGATTTGGGTGGCAACACTCTTTCTTTCCCCCTTCCTTTCTTTTCCTTCCTTCCTTCCCCCCTTTTTCTTTCTTTCCCCTCCCTCACCCTTTCATTCCCTTGTTTTTCCCTTTCTAACTTTTCTTCCACCCTTTCCCTGTGACATCACAGAGGGCACTGTCACACCTAGCAACAACCAGCTCAATGATATCATAGCCTTTGTGGTACAAATGAACAAACATACATAAAAGGTACATTGGCTTCTCCTAGTAACGCACCCTGCAAGCGTTCCAGCAGTCTTGCATATTGATCCAGTAATTCCTGTGGTTCCAGACGCTCTCGATGCCAAGGAAGTGGTCATCTGTGGTGGGGTAGCTCTTCCCGGTGAAAGGGTCAATAAAGAAACTTTCGGGGACTTCTCGTTTGCCCGAAAGGACCAAGACCCAAGCGTGGACTCGTAGGCCATACAGAGTGTCCGGAACGGGCTTCTGGGCTTCCTGCATCCAAAAGAAAGAAATTTATTTATTTTTATTTCTTTCGTGTACTTATACCCCACCCTTCTCACCCCCGAGGGGGGACTCAGAGCGGCTTACAAAAGGCACATCTTGGTACCTACACAAATACAATAACATATAAAACCAGCAATTAAATGGTCAACAATTAAAACAATTAAAAACAACAATATATCACACAATCAATAGCCAATCTCAGACACAGCGTTCGCCAACTCAGAATTCATATTTCGCTCTACCTTGTCCAGTTCCTATCTATCGTCACAGTCCCTTATTCATCTGCCAGATTGCCCAAACGCCTGGTCCCACATCCACGTCTTTAATTTCTTTCTGAATGAAAGGAGGGATGTTGCTGATCTGATCTCCCCGGGGAGTGAATTCCATAGGTGAGGGGCCACCACTGAGAAGGCCCTGCTCCTCGTCCCCGCCAATCTCACTTGTGACAGAGGCGAGGTCGAGAGCAGGGCCTCCCCAGAGGATCTCAAACTCCGAGATGGGACGTAAAGGGAGATGCGTTCGGGCAGATACGCTGGGCCGGAATCGTATAGGGTTTTGTAGGTCAAAACCAGCACTTTGAATTGTGCTCGGAACTGGATCGGCAGCCAGTGGAGCTGACACAGCAGGGGGGTGGTGTGCTCCCTGTATGACGCTCCGGTGAGCAATCTGGCTGCCTCCCCTGGACTAATTGAAGTTTCCGAACAGTCTTCAAAGGCAACCCCACGTAGAGTGCGTTGCAGTAATCCAATCAGGATGTAACAAGAGCGTGGACCACCGTGGCCAAGTCCGACTTCCCAAGGTACAGGCGCAGCTGGCGCACAAGTTTTAGTTGTGCAAAAGCTCTCCCGGCCACTGCCGAGACCTGGGGTTCCAGGCTCAGCGATGAGTCCAGGATCACTCCCAAGCTGCGAACCTGCGTCTTCAGGGGGAGTGTGACCCCGTCTAACACAGGCTGTAACCCTATACCCTGTTCGGCCTTACGACTGACCAGTAGGACCTCTGTCTTGTCTGGATTCAGTTTCAAAGAAAGGAAGAAAGAGAAAGTGGAGTGCAGGTGTGTAATTGCAACACAACAACTTGGGTTCTCTTTTTTTGCTGATGATCCCACAGCTTTAAAAAAAGCCTTACAAAACGTTGCCCCAAAAATCAGCCAAAATGGCAATTAGAAGTGATCACATATAACATATCCGGTGTCATTTCGGCTCCCTGATAAATTGTTATCAATGCTGACTAGAGTTTCCTAATATTCAATAAAAATTTCATGAAACATTGAATATTAGAACACTCTGGGGACCATGTTTGCATTAGCTGAAGAATCAGGCTTTTCCCATCGCAGAAGCAGAACCAAATGAAAGTAATGGAACTGAATGCACTCGTCCTTCCCCACTTCTGCATTAGTGGTTAAGATAACTAGGGAGGTATAGAAAATGTTTGCCAAAATGTCATATTTTCCATCCTTTTACAGATGACGCCAAGATATGTGTGGCTGAGCAATGTGAGAATGGGCTCAAATAGCAGAAGTTATTTTGAATGAGCAGAATAAGGAAGAAGCTCCAGGTCCAGATGGACTAATGCAGTTTGCTTTTGCCTCGATCTCCTGGAAAGGGGATGGTTCCATTTCCTCTGCTCAACTCTCAATTTGCAGCAAATTAAATATAACAAAGACAAATATGGAGGAAGAGAGACTTTTTTTAAGCTGAAAAAAGCAAAGGAATAATCAGGAACAGGAGGCGAATATGAACATTTGGGGCATCTTTGACCTGCACTCACTGCTATTTTTTCCTCTTCCTCCTTCCTCTTCTTGTCCTCCGCTGCCTTCTCTGTGGCCAATATTTTGTCTCTTTCTTGCTGCTCGTATTTGCTGTTCAGATCCCGTGGTGGCTTGACAGCATATTTCTTCGGCTTTTCTACGGCAGCTTCTTCGATGACCTACAGATCCAATTCACAGAAACAATAATACACACAGACAGATTGTTTTGAATCCTTCTACATCTTTCACCTTGGGATTCATCCAGACATTTGACAGTAGATGCTTCAATAATATAAAATGTTTCTGGACAGACACTTATTGTCCTGCATATATGTACTAGGAATGTGCAATCTGGCTAAACCCTATGCCGTTTCCAGTGTCTGGATTGCAGTGCCCCCCCCCCCCCGATGCATTTTTGGGAGCCTCCCAAATTCCACTGGGGAAAATCCGACCCATTGGTGGCAATGGAGGAACTTCCCAGATTCCACTTTCCATCAGGCTTAAGAAACTGTTGTGTCAGCTCCACTGGCTGCCGATCCAATTCCGAGCACAATTCAAGGTGCTGGTTTTGACCTACAAAACCCTATGGTTCTGGCCCAGTGTATCTGTCCGAACGGATCTCCCTCTACGTCCCACCCCGGAGTCTAAGATCTTCTGGGGAGGTCCTGCTCTTGACCCCGCCTCTATCACAAGTGAGATTGGCGGGGACAAGGAGCAGGGCCTTCTCGGTGGTGGCCCCCCACCTGTGGAATTCACTCCCCGGGGAAATTAGATCAGCGACATCCCTCCTTTCCTTCAGGAAAAAACTGAAAACATGGATTTGGGACCAGGCATTCGGACAATCGGGCAGATAAAGAAAGGACTTTGACAAGGGACAGGAATTGACTAATGGAATGGAATTTGGAACTCTGAAAGACGAACGCTGACCATGAGAATAGTTTTACTGATGTGTTATATACTGATTGTTTTTAACTGTGATAATTGTTTTAACTATGGTTTTATATGTTATGTGTATGTTGTGCAGGCATCAAATTGTGCCTTTCTGTAAGCCACCCTGAGTCCCCCCTCGGGGGTTGAGAAGGGTGAGGTTGAAGTACCCGAAATAAAATAAATAAATTAAAAAAAAATAAAAACCACTCTTTCTGGCTTCATTTATCCTCAAATCCTTCAATAAGACTTGGGTTTAAGGCATCAGACTTAAGGAACCACCCTTTCTGGGATCCTTTCTCCTTCTCTATCCTTCAATAACACTTAGGTTTAAGGCATCAGGCATAGTTTCTCCCCAACACCTTTTCAGTGAAGCCAAGTCAAACACTTATTTCAGTGGGAGCCACACCACATAAAGGAGCATTAGCCAGCCTTTTAAAAAGACATAAATTACCTCCTCATTTTTTGGTGGCTTTAGAAATTGCAACAGTCAAACTGACCATGGAACAACAGAATGGTTCAAGATTGGGAAAGGCATCCAGCAGGATTATATCCTCTCCCCCAACCTATTCAACTTGTATGCAGAACACATCATGCAATGTGCGGGGCTTGAGGAATGCAAGGCTGGGGTGAAAATTGCTGGAAGAGACATTAACAACGTTAGATATGCAGATGACACCACTTTGATGGCCGAAAGTGAGGAAGAGCCGAGGAGCCTTCTAATCAAGGTGAAAGAAGAAAACGCAAAAGCTGGGTTGCAGTTAAACATAAAAAAACCAAGATTATGGCAACAAGAATGATTGACAACTGGAAAATAGAGGGAGAAAATGTGGAGGCAGTGACAGACTTTGTATTTCTAGGTGCAAAGATTACTGCAGATGCAGACTGTGGCCAGGAAATCAGAAGACGCTTCCTTCTTGGGAGGAGAGCAATGTCCAGTCTCGATAAAATAGTAAAGAGTAGAGACTTCAGACTGGCTAACAACGGAAAAATTTGTTTCTAAAATCGATTTGTATTTGGGGGTTTTTTTTTGTTTCGATATTTAAAATAATTACAAAATTTTTTTAAAAAGTTCGATATTTACGAAATTTCGTAAATGGTAAAAAATTAACGAATCGATTTCCGAAACAATAACGAATCGATTCGTTAATGGCGGACGCGACCGCGAAATATGCTAAAAAACCTCCAAAACCTTCTGAAGCTTCCCTCTCCCTCTGTTGTTGACTGTTGGTGTGATATTATAATTTTTTTTCACTAATTAAACCATAAAACTGACCCAGACATGCGGAAATAATAACGAAACGACCTCAAAACAATAACGAAACGAATACAATATCGAAATACGAAGCATTTACAAAACGTTTTTGAAAATTCGTTTTTTTTTAATAATTGCTCCAGAATGGTTCGTTATCGTTTTGTAATTGAAAAAATTAACGAATTATTAACGAATTACGAATTAACGAAACGAAACCGCCCAGCCCTAGTGTCTAGATCTAGGGAAGTAATGCTACCCCTCTATTCTGCTTTGGTTAGACCACACCTGGGCACCACAAACCAATCTTGATAAAATAGTGAAGAGTAGGGACATCACACTGGCAACCAAGATCCGCATAGTTAAAGCAATTGTATTCCCCGTAGTAACCTACGGATGTGAGAGCTGGACCATAAGGAAGGCTGAGCAAAGGAAGATAGATGTTTTTGAACTGTGGTGCTGGAGGAAAGTTCTGAGAGTGCCTTGGACCGCAAGAAGATCCAACCAGTCCATACTCCAGGAAATAAAGCCCTGACTGCTAACTGGAGGGAAGGATATAGAGGCAAGATGAAGTCTTTGGCCACATCATGAGAAGACAGGAAAGCTTGGAGAAGAGAATGATGCTGGGGAAAATGGAAGGGAAAAGGAAGAGGGGCCGACCAAGGGCAAGATGGATGGATGGCATCCTTTGTTGCAACCCAGAGCAGAAAACGAGGCCCCAAGATAACTATCCACCACACTTGACTGTGAAAAAACAATCCTTTTTTATTGATGAAAAATGGTTACAAAATAAAGGGAAAATGCAAAGTCAAAAGCCACAGCAAAATCAGCAAACATGAATGTCCATGGACAAGATCAAAACCCAAAGCCACACTGTAAAATACTGGAACCTGTTAGCAATCCACTAACCGTGCTTGATATCCTAGAAATCTTTCAAGACCATGGCCAGGGAAACCGGGAGAACTGCCAAGGTCTTCATCAATCTGAAACGATGCCTGAACTGAGAAAGTCAGCCCGGCGGAAGGCACTTAAAGCCGAAGAATTGGTTTCGTGATACGCCTCCCCTGCTTTGAAGCCGTTGTTTGTTTTTCTTTTAATCTGGAAGACCTTTGCAAGCTGAGTGATATACTCCTGTCTTGCCAGATCTGGCCCCTTCTGTTGTCATTACAGTTAACAGGTGCAGAAGGGAGGGAAAGTTCAAGGTCTCCCTCTGCAACATTCTCATGAACACTGGTACTTTCATTTTACAAATCTACAGAAGTTTCTTCCTCACTAATTTCAGGAGCATTGTCACTAATTTCAGGAACATTGACATCAAGAAGTACATTTTCATTAGCATCAGTACATATATTTTCATTAGCATCAGGAGGTACAAACAGAGAATCAGGTTCAAACTCAGGCTGAACCCCAACATCCTTGAAGTGACTGAATTGACCTTGAAGGAGCTGGGGGTGGTCCAAGGAGCTCTGGCATGGGCTGGTTCATGAGGTCACAAAGAGTTGGAAGTGACTGAAGGAATGAACAGCAACAATTAGAAATGGCAGGATACCTCTACCCCACATTTGAAGCTTGTGTGGTGTAAAGGGCACCAGCAGTGGCAGTTTCTTAAGTGTGTAGAATGCAAAAACTTATTTATTGCTATTCGAGTCAAAAATCAAGGAAAGGGATGCAGAGCTGCAAGTGGAACTGAGGATTTAGATCACCAGTGGACTGGAGCACGATCAGTCTCTCTCAGAAGCCTGCTCACAACATAAAAACAGAGGCCTAGCTTGGCTAATTGACACGTCATGGCTTTCTTCTGTTCTGATGGACTCAACAGGCAGGGCTCACATGGAAATCCCATGCTGGTTTGTGGCTGCCACTCAGTTCCATGCGTAGCAGAATGAAACTGAAAGTAACCATGATAGGCAGCCATGTGGCCAGAAAAAAATGGTGGCAGTGCACATACCATTAAGGTAAAGGTAAAGGTAGTCCCCTGACATTAAGTCCAGTCATGTCTGACTCTGGGGTGTGGTGCTCATCTCCATTTCTAAGCCGAAGAGCCAGCATTGTCCGTAAACACCTCCAAGGTCATGTGGCTGGCATGACTGCATGGAGCGCCGTTACCTTCCCGCCGGAGCGGTACCTATTGATCTACTCACATTTGCATGTTTTCAAACTGCTAGGTTGGCAGAAGCTAGGGCTGACAGCGGAAGCTCACGCCGCTCCCCGGAATCGAACCTGCGACCTTTTGATCAACAAGCTCAGCAGCTCAGTGCTTTAACCCACTGCGCCGCCGGGGGCTCCCGCACATACCATTATGGCTGGCCAAAAGAGCCAAACCAACTAGAGCCCGTTTTGAAAAATGGATCTGTACACAGCCCTAATATATACCTAGTACCATCTGAATACCCTAAAGGCATCAGATCCCGTCTTGTCTCAAAAGCTAAGCAGGGTCAGCCTCGGTTAGCACTTGGATGGGAGAACCAATGAATTGAGAATGCCGTCAGCTGTATTTCAAAACACGTGATAACCCTAGGAAATTTATGGGATTGCAATAAGCCAACAGGCAACTTGGAGGCACAACCAACCTTGGTCCCTTTCCCCCTGCAGAATATAATTTCTGGAACATGAGAAAGGTGCCTTTTTGAACCTTCTCCAATCCCAGAAGGACTACAATGAATGCCAGTTGCTACAGGCTCTTTCATAAGAAGAAGAAACCAGAGAAACCACCTCTGAACACTCCATACTTAAAAATACCCCTGCAAAATAAATGGCATCACCTTGAATCCATAGGTGACTTAAATGCACATAAACACAAACACATATAGGACCGGGTTGTGGCACAGCTGGTTGGGAATCAGCTACATTAAAATCACTACTGACCAAAAGGTCATGAGTTTGAAGCTAGCCCAGGTCAGAGTAAGCTCCCGACCATTTGTCTAGCTTGCTGTCGACCTTTGCAGCCCAAAAGACAGTTGCATCAGTCAAGTAGGAAATTTAGGTACCGCTTATGCGGGGAGGCTAATTTAACTCATTTATGACACCATAAAACTCTCCAGCAGCGTGCAAAAGAATGAGGAAGTACTCCATCAGGGTCACAAGTGAACAGTGAAGCAACATCTTCCCCGGTAGCCAGAATTCAAAGCATAACTTCATGAAGCTGGAAAGTTAAATAGCCTCTGTGTGTCTGTCGATATATGTTGTGTGTCTATGGCATTGAATGTTTGCCATGTATATGTGCATTGTGATCCGCCCTGAGTCCCCTGCGGGGTGAGAAGGGCGGAATATAAATACGGTAAATCAATAAATAATACCTTTACATTTTCCTTAAGAGTCAAACCTGTGCTGTTGCTGACCCCTAGTGGATTCTTGCTGTCATCTATTTTAAAATCAGGAGAAGACATAAGGCTTGTATTAAGGTTTGCTCCTGCAATATATGGAGCAACAGTTGCCAGAACTACAAGCTGGGTTTAGAAAATGCAGAGGAACAAGAGACCAAATTATCCGCTGGATAATGGAGAAAGGCAGGGAGTTTCAGAAAAACATCTATTTCTGTTTTATTGACTATTCTAAAGCCTTTGACTGTGTGGATTGTAATAAATTGTGGCAAGTTCTTGGTGGGATGGACATACCAAGCCACCTTGTCTCTCCCCTGAGGAATCTGTACAAGGACCAAGTAGCAACCAAGTAGAACTAACCATGGAACAACAGACTGGTTCCAGATTGGGAAAGGCATATGGTAGGGTTGTATCCTCTCCCCCAACCTATTCAACTTGTATGCAGAACACACAGGGGCGGCTCATCCATTACGCGAAGTAAGCGGTCGCAGAACACTTTTTTTGCCAGGGGCGCAGAGGTGCCTCTGTAAATGCCCCTCGACCGCCACTTGAGGAGCGCCCCCTCAGCTCACGATAGCCCTAGCAGTCCGGGGGGAGCCTCGGCTTTCTTGCCTCGCTGCCAGGTGATCCTCTTCCCAAAGGGGCCCTTGAGCCTCGCCTAGCCCCTCTCGTTCCTGCTCCACCCAGCCACCGGGTGCGCGAACAGAGCCGGCGTTCAATCATTCTTCCCTTCACCGTGACCGCCTCCCTTTCCTGATCCCCGGCGCTCCACCCGCCTCCTCTCCTCTCCCCAATCCGCGGGTGGGCCAAGGGGCGGAGCCGCGCCTGGCCCGCTTCGGGTCCGGAGGCGTGTCTGAAGACCCCAGCATGCGCACCAAAAGTCGCCTCTTCTCCTGACTTTCTCTTCAGCCATTGGGACCAAGAGAGAGAGAGAGAGAGCCCCTCCGGCTGGAGGTATCTCCCACCTCCGCTCCCTCCTTTGTTTTTGCGCCTACCTTCAGGAAAGGTGGGTATCTCCACCTCTCTCTCTCTCTCTCTGGTCCCAATGGCTGAGGAGAAAGTCAGGAGAAGAGGTGACTTTTGGTGCACACGCCGGGGTCTTCAGGCACGCCTCCGGACCCAAAGCGGGCCAGGCAAGGGAGCAAGTGTGGCAAGTGTAGTTACTGGGATGTATAGTTCACCTACAATCAAAGAGCATTCTGAACTCTACCAATGATGGAATTGAACCAAATATGGCACACAGAACTCCCACGACAAACAGAAAATATATATCAATGATTGGTTGGGGGGGGGGCGCCAAAATACTGTTTGCTTACCATTGAAAATTACCTAGGGCCGCCTCTGAGAACACATCATGCAATGTGCGGGGCTTGACGAATGCAAGTCTCGGGTGAAAATGGCTGGAAGGAACATTAATAACCTTAGATATGCAGATGACACCACTTTGATTGCCACAAGCGAGGAGGAGCTGAGGAGCCTTCTAATCAAGGTGAAAGAAGAAAGCGCAAAAGCTGGGTTGCAGCTAAACATAAAAAAAAAAACAAAAACAAGATTATGGCAACAAGAATGACTGACAACTGGGAAATAGAGGGAGAAAAGGTGGAGGCCGTGACAGACTTTGTATTTCTAGGCGCAAAGATGAGTGCAGACGCAGACTGAGGCCAGGAAATCAGAAGACGCTTCCTTCTTGGGAGGAGAGCAAGGACCCATCTCGACAAAATAGTGAAGAGTAGAGACATCACACTGGTGACAAAGATCCGCCTACTCAAAGCAATGGTATTACCCATAATCACCTACGGATGTGAGAGCTGGACCAGAGGGAAGGCTGAGCGAAGGAAGAGAGACGCTTTTGTGGTGCTGGAGGAAAGTTCTGAGAGTGCCTTGGACTGCCAGAAGATCCGACCAGTCCATACTTCAGGAAAGAAAGCCCGATTGCTCATTGGAGGGAAGGATAGTAGAGGCCAAGATGAAGTACTTTGGCCACATCATGAGAAGACAGGAAAGCTTGGAGAAGACAATTATGCTGGGGAAAATGGAAGGAAAAAGGAAGAGGGGCCGACCAAGGGCAAGGTGGATGGATGGCATTCTTGGAGTGACTGGGTTGACCTTGAAGGAGCTGAGGGGGTGACGGCCGACAGGGAGCTCTGGCGCGGGATGGTCCATGAGGTCACAAAGAGTCGGAAACAACTGAACGAATGAACAAAAAACGTTTGCTTAGTATATTTCCCTGTAGATACCTTAACCCACAGACAGTAGCAAGGATACACAGCCCCACAAAAACAAATTCATTTTCTCGGTTTTTGGAACTATTCCTGGATTTATTTGGCGCACTGATTCAAAAAACTGCATCAGATCTGCTCTAGTTTCTTAGGCTGCCATATAATTCATATTATCAACATAGATAATCCAGATTATCTGCTTTGAACTGGATTATATGAGTCTACATGGCCATACAATACAATTCAAAGCGTATGATCTGGATTTGATTTGGTAGTGTCGACGAGGCTTTGGATAGGATTATCACAGTTATCAGAAGGCAACTAGTAGATGGGATATGTTCTGTATCTCAAAAGCTAGAGTTGATAGGGGGAAACAGGTGCCATTTTTGGAACACTGACCAAAAATAAGGCTAACATTTGGGGCATCAAAATGTGACCTGGGCAGTGATATCAGTTGTATTTCAATTACCAAAGAGAGAGCGAGAGAGAGAGCATTTCAAGATTTGCTGCCTAAACAAAGCTTTATAAAGTTATTGACAGATGTACAAAATTTTCCAGCTGGTGTGACCACTGGTGTGGTGATATTGGGAAGTGTCCAGAAAGTACGGGGAAACTCCAAACAGCAAGCATTCATGGGCCAGTTAACACCTCCCAAACAGAAGATGCCTCCAGGCAACAGGAGACAGGCTACCTCTAAACAGATATTCTCATTGATTAACTTTGGAGCTTCATGGCTACTCGATACTATTCAAGCTTGCTAATTGCAACATTCACACTTGATTCAAACAGGCAAGGGTTCTGCCTTGCTGTAAGTTTTTCGGGCTGTATGTAAACATGGCCATAAAGCCTGAAAAACTTACAGCAACTCAGTCATTCTGGTCATGAAAGCCTTCAACAAGACAAGGGTTCTTTCTCCTACCCTGGAGATTATTCCACAGATATAGATATAGATATAGATACACACACTCCACTTGCCTCACTGCAAACAGAACCTCTGAAGATGCCAATAGCCACAGATGCAGGTGAAACATCAGGAGAGAATGCTGCTGGAACATGGCCATACAGCCCGAAAAACTCACAGCAATCCAGTCCAAAAAGTAGTCCCATAAACTCTGTTCGGATCCTATTCTATCTCTTCCTCCTCCTTACCCATTGGGCATACCATTGTCCCTGGGGTCTCACCTCTTCCGATTTCTTCAGGAGAGGGCACACCTCTCTGGACTCATCCATCATGCAGATCTCCCGGGTGGCATAGCCATTCACGCAATAGGCGTCGTACCCGGCGCCGATCAGCAAGGAGCAGAGGAGGACGCTGAAGTCGAAGCAGTTGCCCCGCTGGTAGCGCAGGATGGTGGTCGGGGAATAGAGGTAACTGGGCTGCGGAGGAGAGCATCAAAGAATGAGAAGGGTCCCTCTGAGGACATCTAGTCCAATGAAGTTTCTGGTGTAGAACAATGACTTTCAAAGTAAGGGTCACACAATTAAATCAGAAATAACACAGATTTTTTTTCCAATTTTGTTACATAGGGTGGTATTTGTAGTTCACCTACATCCAGGAGTTGTAGTTCACCTACATCCAGAGAGCACTGTGGACACATTACCCCATGACCAACAGAAAAAAAAACTGAGTTTCCTGATGGTCTTTGGCGACCCCTATGACACTCCTTCACGACCCCCCGAGGGGTCCCGACCCCCAGGTTGAGAAACACTGCTATAAAGGAATATATCATCCACATACGTAACCCAGAACCACTTTGAGTCTCCACTGTGGAGAGAAAAAGAGGGATATAAATAAAGATGATATTAATAATATTAATAATATTATTAATATTAATAATGTTAATAATATTAATATTATTAATAATATTAATAATATTAATAATAATAATAATATTAATAATTGTAGTCATTGATAATAATGTTAAATCATATATCGCTTTTATTGCATTAGTAAATTTATCTCCCATGTCCAGTTCTTGTATTAATATCTTAAAGAAATCACAATTTAGGTTATCAAAAGCCTTCTCTGCGTCCAAGGCTAGTATGGCAAATTCTTTTTGATGATTCTGTTCATAATAATGATAATAATGTTGAAGAGGACTGGACCCTGTGATGTTCTACTTGAGACTTCTCTCCAGTTTGATGCCAATGGTTTAGCCTCACATCTGTCCAATTATTCCTTCCCATTTGCATCCATTCTAAAACACTCTCAGCTAGCTTACAGCGACTGGAAAAAAGACTGAGAACTAAATAGTTCTTCTAAAGGTCCTATTTTCTTACCGGTGCTATGGGTGATGGAAGGGGCTCCATGGTGAGATAGTCCGACACGAAGCGGGCGCAGCCATCCCAATTGTACAACTCTGAGTAGAGCAGCAGAGTCGGGCGCACCGTCGTACTCACAAATTTCTGCCAAAATAATAAAAGGCATCAGTTTGTGACTTGTAAGCCAATTTAGTAGGGATGTGCAAAATTCCAGACAGGAGAGAATCAGGGCCAGCGAACACCTCCCAACAAAGGATTCTGTTGGGGTTCAGCCTGGGTGTGAACCTGAACCTGCTTCTCTGATTGTATTTCCTGATGCTACTGAAAATGTATTTTCTGATGCTCCTGATGCTAATGAAAATGTTGATTCTGAGGTCAGTGTAGAAGAAACTCCTGCAGGCTTGGAAGGCTTGGAAAGTGAAAGTACACAATCTCCTGAGAATGTTTCAGGGTCAAGCAGTGATAGCTCTCCAGAGAGGCTAACACCTGGGATCCTTAATGAGGATAGAAGAGGACAGATTTGGAAAAACAGGAGTGAATCGCAGAGTCTGCGAAGGTCAAGCAGATTAAAAGAAAAAGAAACAAGGGCTTCAAAGCCTGGAGGCGTGTCATGAAACAGTTTCCTCGGCTTTAAGTGCCTCTCGCCGGGTTGACTCTTTAGATCAGGCATCGTTTTAGACTGAGGCATTACCTTGGCAGATCTCCCGTTTCCTGTGGCCTTCATCCCAAGAGGCTTCTAGTGCTCCAAGTACGGTTAGTGGATTGCTAACAGGTTCCAGGATTTTACAGTGTTGCTTTTGGATTTTGATCTAGTTCATGGATATTTGTGATTGCTGATTTTTACTGTGGCTTTTTGACTTTGCATTTTCCTCTATTTTGTAACCATTTTTCATCAATAAAAAGGGATTGTTTTTCCCACAGTCAAGTGTGGGGGATTGTTATCTTAGGGTCTCGTTTCCTGCTCTGGGTTGCAACAGATTCCCCCAGGCAGGAAACAGCCAGGCTTTGAAGCTGCAAGGGCATTTAAGGTGGCCAACTGCAACATTCACACTTGCAACCAACAGACAAGAGTTCTTTTTCCCACCCTGGACATCATTCCACAAGTAAATAATAATAATAATAATAATCATCATCATCATCATCATCATCATCTTTATTTGTACCCTGCCACCATCTCCCCAGTGGGGACTCGGGGTGGCTTACATGGGACCAAGCCCAAAAACACAGCAACACAGGCATGTAGCCGGGGGGGGGGGGCTTGAGGGGCTTCAGCCCCCCCCCGAAATTCTCATGGTGGTTCGCGAAAAGGCCTTACTGGTGCATTATTTAAACTGTTATGTTTATTCATATCATGATCTGATCACCATACTCAATATAGCCCATATGCATGGGGGTATTGGGGTAATGATACAAAAGGTTTGCTAGGCTAGACCCTCTTTCACTCAGACTCAGCCCCCCCCGAAACTCAGCCCCCCCCCCCGAAACCCCCCTGAAAAATTTGCCCCCCCCAAATGAAATCAAAGTACAACCGTAAAACAACAAAGAGAAAACAAACAAGGACATCTAATCTCAACAAAAGATTGCCCCAGGCACTGCCAGGCCATCAAATGCTAATCAAGGTGGTCAGTTGAAACATTCACACCTAGCTCCAGCAGACAAGAGTCCTTTGTCCCACCCTGGTCATTCCACAAATATATAAACCCTTTTTCCTAGTTCCAACAGACCTCACTACCTCTGAGGATGCTTGCCATAGATGCAGGCGAAACGCCAGGAGAGAATGCCTCTAGACCATGGCCATATAGCCCGAAAAAAAACCTACAACAACCCAGCAACATAATCAATTACATAAAACATATATTATAAGAATATTACAACCAATATACAGTAAAATAAAACCATTCGAGACGCAAAACAATATAAACCCCACTTGCCTAGCTTCCGAGAGACCTCACAACCTCTGAGGATGCCTGCTATAGATGTGGGTGAAACGTCACGAGATAATGCTTCTGGAACATAGCCATATAGCTTTGAGAACTCAGAGCAACCCAGTGATTCTGGCCAGGAAAGCCTTCGACAACACAATTAATCTATTATCCCCAATTTTTCCTTCCCTTTTCCCTCCATCTCTTCCTTCCCTAGTAAACGTGTAATAAAAACTATTTTGGGTGGGGAAAGACCTTATATCAGCTCCATCCACTCACTTACTTCCACGCCACATTCGTTTATGGGGTGGAGGAAGAGCGGCTCACGGTCCGGGCAGAGGTGGGCATACTGGCGGTGAAAGTTGTCGGCCACTTGCAAGACCAGCTGCTCCTTGGGCGTATTGGTCCGGTAAGACTCCGGGAGGTTGGAGGTGTCCACGGATTTCCAGTCAAACTCACTGTGCAAAGAAAGGGAGAAAGAAGGCAATGCAGAAGATGCAACGCAATCAAATCACTCCTGGCAGATGGCCATCCAGCCATACTGGAATACTAGCTCTAGCTAAAGGTATCCGAAGCAGACATGATGGCCTACAACTCCTGGCTCGAGAGAAGTATGTGTGAAAAAGATCAAGGGTCTGGAGAACAAGCCCTATGAAGAGCGGCTTAAAGAGCTGGGCATGTCTAGCCTGAAGAAGAGAAGGCTGAGAGGAGACATGATGGCCTACAACTCCTGGCTCGAGAGCAGTATGTGTGAAAAAGATCAAGGGTCTGGAGAACAAGCCCTATGAAGAGCGGCTTAAAGAGCTGGGCATGTCTAGCCTGAAGAAGAGAAGGCTGAGAGGAGACATGATGGCCTACAACTCCTGGCTCGAGAGCAGTATGTGTGAAAAAGATCAAGGGTCTGGAGAACAAGCCCTATGAAGAGCGGCTTAAAGAGCTGGGCATGTCTAGCCTGAAGAAGAGAAGGCTGAGAGGAGACATGATGGCCTACAACTCCTGGCTCGAGAGCAGTATGTGTGAAAAAGATCAAGGGTCTGGAGAACAAGCCCTATGAAGAGCGGCTTAAAGAGCTGGGCATGTCTAGCCTGAAGAAGAGAAGGCTGAGAGGAGACATGATGGCCTACAACTCCTGGCTCGAGAGCAGTACGTGTGAAAAAGATCTTGGGAGTCCTCGTGGACAACAAGTTAAACATGAGCCAACAATGTGATGTGGTGGCAAAAAAAGCCAATGGGATTTTGGCCTGCATCAGTATAGTGTTTAGATCCAGAGAAGTCATGCTCCCCATGCTCTATTCCGCCTTGGTTAGATCACACCTGGAATATTGTTTCCAATTCTGGGCACCACATTTGAAGCGAGATGTTGACAGGCTGGAATGTGTCCAGAGGAGGGTGACTAAAAAGATCAAGGGTCTGGAGAACAATCCCTATGAGAAGCGGCTTAAAGAGCTGGGTATGTTTACCTTTCAGAAAATAAGGCCGAGAAGAGACATGATGGCCTACAACTCCTGGCTCAAGAGCAGTACATGTGAAAAAGATCTTGGAGTCCTCGTGGACAACAAGTTAAACATGAGCCAACAATGTGATGTGGTGGCAAAAAAAGCCAACGGGATTTTGGCCTCTATAGTGTTTAGATCCAGAGAAGTCATGCTCCCCATGCTCTATTCCGCCTTGGTTAGACCACACCTGGAATATTGTTTCCAATTCTGGGCACCACATTTGAAGAGAGATATTGACAAGCTGGAATGTGTCCAGAGGAGGGAGACTCAAATGATCAAGGGTCTGGAGAACAAGCCCTATGATAGCGGCTTAAAGAGCTGGGTATGTTTACCTTTCAGAAAATAAGGCCGAGAGGAGACATGATGGCCTACAACTCCTGGCTCAAGAGCAGTACATGTGAAAAAGATCTTGGAGTCCTCGTGAACAAGAAGTTAAACATGAGCCAACAATGTGATGCTGATGCTAAAAAGGCCAACGGGATTTTGGCCTCTATAGGTGTTTAGATCCAGGGAAGTCATGCTCACCATGCTTTGGTTAGACCACACCTGGAATATTGTGTCCAATTCTGGGCACCACAATTGAAGAGAGATATTGACAAGCTGGAATGTGTCCAGAGGAGGGCAACTCAAATGATCAAGGGTCTGGAGAACAAGCCCTATGAGGAGCGGCTTAAGGAGCTGGGCATGTTTACGCTTCAGAAAAGAAGGCTGAGAGGAGACATGATGGCCTACAACTCCTGGCTCAAGAGCAGTACGTGTGAAAAGGATCTTGGAGTCCTCGTGGACAATAAGTTAAACATGAGCCAACAATGTAATGCTGATGCGAAAAAGGCCAACAGGATTTTGGCCTCTATAGTGTCTAGATCAGGGGTAGGGAACCTTTGGCCCTCCAGCTGTGGTGGACTTCAACTCCCACAATTCCTTGAGGCTCGGCATTCGCCCCAAAGGCTTACCTTGGCCCCATGCCGAGCCTCAAGGAATTGTGGGAGGTGAAGTCCACCACAGCTGGAGGGCCAAAGGTTCCCTACCCCTGCCTAGAGCTACAGGAGCGGCATTAGCATTCCTTGGTTATACCACATCTGGAATACTGTGTGCAATTCTAGGCACCACAATTGAAGGGAGATGTTGACAAGCTGAATGTGTCCAGAGGAGGGTGACTAAAATGATCAAGGGTCTGGAGAACAAGCCCTATGAGGAGCGGCTTAAAGAGCTGGGCATGTTTAGCCTGAAGAAGAGAAGGCTGAGAGGAGACATGATAGCCATGTATAAATATGTGAGAGGAAATCATAGGGAGGAGGGAGCAAGCTTGTTTTCTGCTTCCCTGGAAACTAGGACGCAATGGAGCAATGGCTTCAAACTACAAGAAAGGAGATTCCGTCTGAACATGAGGAAGAACTTCCTGACTGTGAGAGCTGTTCTTAGCAAATTTTCTGCAAATGCATGCCATTTATGACTTCAAAACTTTTTAAAAATCTTTTGGAATGAACTATTCAAAGTAGAACCAGCAGGTGGAGGGTTTGCCTTGGCCATCTAAACCTTCCTAATGCCTCGACCCCTTAATCCGGTTCCTCGTGTTGCGATGACGCTCAAACATAACATTATTATCGTTGCTACTTCATCACTGTCATTTTGCTCCTGTTATGAATCGTCATGTAAAGATCAGATATGTAGGATGTCTTTTCATTCACTGGACCAAATTTGGCACAAATACCCCATACACCCAAATTTGAATAATGGTGGGGTTAGGTGGAGATTGATTTTGTCATTTGGGAGTTGTAGTTGCTGGGATTTATAGTTCACCTACAATCAAAGAGCATTCTGAACTCCAGCAATGATGGAATTGAACCAATATTGGCACACAGAACTCCCATGACCAGCAAAAAAGACTGGAAGGGTTTAGTGGGCATTGACCTTGAGTTTTGGAGTTGTAGTTCACCTATATCCAGAGAGCACTGTGGACACAAACAATGATGGATATTGGAATGGATACTCGATATGCCCAAATGTGAATACTGGTGGAGTTTGGGGAAAATAGGCCTTGGCATTTGGGAGTTGTGATTCCTGGGATTTATAGTTCACCTACAATCAAAGAGCATCTTGAACTCCATCAATGATGGAATTGAACCAATCTTGGCACACAGGACTCCCCTGACCAACAGAACACACTAGAAAGGTTTGGTGGGCATTGACCTTGAGTTTGGGAGTTGTAGTTCACCTATATCCAGAGAGCACTGTGGACTTAAGTAATGATGGATCTGGACAAAACTTGGCAAGAAAACTCAATATGTCCAAATGTGAATAATGAAGTTTGAGAAAAATAGACCTTGACATTTGGGAGTTGTAGTTGCTGGGATTTATAGTTCACCTACAATCAAAGGGCATCTTGAACTCCATCAATGATGGAATTGAACCAATCTTGGCACACAGAACTCCCATGACCAACAGAAAATACTGAGAGGGTTTGGTGGGCATTGAGTATGGGAGTTTTAGTTCAC